GTCTCATCAAGACCTACCCACCTACCAAGTATCAAGACAATCCCTCAAGGCCTTCTCAAGTTATCGTGTTTACTAGACACACACACACACACACACACACACATACACGAACGCCCCTGAAAACATAACCTTCTTGGCGAAGGTAATTACGAAATGAATACAGTGGTTTGTTTTTTTCTCACCCGAATATGATTCATTTAATTATACTGAGGGAAATATTCGGAGTCGAATACACTATAATGACAATTACGTACCACTTTGCCGTCAGCTTCGCCTACTAACATTATGACTTCCGGGTCGTCCACCCATTGGTGAAACTTGGCGGGCAGGTAGTCGAACCCGTCCCGGAATGTGTCTACTGACGCCATGTTCATGACGGCGTCGTAGTCACTGTGTGTGGCTTCACGGCATGTCAGGTGGAAACTATCTTCGTTCGCCTGTAAAACCAATCGTCAGATTCATCACAGTTTATTGACACATCAGATAACATAGATTTATATGACGTCTTTTTATGAGAGAACGTTGTATCTTGTAATCTATATAAATTTCAATGAGGGCTTAGAGAAGTTGTTGGAGCTCATCCCAGGCTAGTCTCCCGACCTTGGTTGGGTAGTAGTCGGTATGTAAGTCGTAGGAAGGTCCTGAATATGTGACCGGGGCTTTATCCTTAAACTAGTGACCTTTCTACCATTTTGTTGCGTTTCGTGCAACTGTGATTGGCCGCCCGAGACAAGTCAACTGCGACCTTTGTACCAGAATGGCGGCTGTTATTACATAGAAAACTCGCTCATTTTAACGATATTCAGTAAAGTCGCCGACTTACCATAACCTCTCCGTGTGTAGTCGTGTTGACGTGGAGAGAGTTTATTTTACGATTTTGTAACTAGGTTGGCCGGCACAATTAGGCAAACTGAAGCAAATCCCGCTATGCATTTACGCGTACGTACTCATGCTCCGGTCAAAGCTCACCTCCGACCCGGAAAGGGAAGGAGAAGCTGATCCGACCATGAACTTTGCCTCGATACCTTACCGTTGCATGGCGAGAATGAACCAAGCAGCAGTTTCAAATGTTGGCAGTTGGCGGTATGAGCATGCAACGTTTCGAAGCATATTGCATTTATTTTAAGGTACAAAATTAATGTACTACAAATATTATACTACAAAACTTTATTTATCAAACGCAACAACCAGACGACGTTATTCAATTCAACGATTCCTCTGAAATGGTGCACATAACGGTGTGCATTTTAGGTTCAACCCTATAGCTGTATACACCAGACAGAGAAATACGTACGGTCTTGTTGTATCTTAAAGGCGTGGCTTAGTCATTTCCAGAAGAACTGTGAAATACAAGTACCTGTGGTCGTGGGGAAGGTGAACAAGGCCCAACTTCTCCACACAAAAGGTTTTGCTTGTGGTTTTCAGGGACGGGTCAATCAACATTACACAGAACGTGATCATCCCTTCGTACTCATGACAAGCTCTGCCTACATGGTGTTTGATATGAGCCTGACATAGAGCTACATCTCTACAGTGTACATCTACGTGATACACTCTTCCCCTTGGTGTCATATAACTGCCACCAAAACTCAAACTCTTAGCTGTTGGCTCACTAGTGTCGACAAGAATAATGACACCCCGCTTTGAGAACAAATGTAAGTTAGAGGCACTGAGCTGATACGGGTCCCAATCTACAAAAATATTATTGTCAACTAGGATCTGCTTGGAGAACTCTGGCCTTGCCAGCCGCGCCATGTCGGAAGGTTGGTAGGGCACTACTGGTGGGTGTGGAGGAGATGGAAGAACATCCTTGGTTTCCAAACTATCCAGCACTTCGTTAGACTTGCCTTGGAAGTACATGATGTCCTGGAATTAGAAAAAATGGTTATGAATGGTTTGTAATTAACTACATATCTTTAAAAGACAACAGCGTGTCTATACGTTTGCGCACAAGTGATCATGAGTGTGTGATTGGATTTGCTTGCAAGTGTGTATATTTTTTTTGTGTGGTGTGTGGTGCGTGTGCGTGTGTGCATTGTGAGTCTTACCTTACGCTGTGAGCGCATCTATATACATGTTGTATTCTGTTAACTTCTGCATTCAGTACAAGTATTTCCTCCAGAGAGTTTACCTTTCGTAATAAACGTGTGAATTAATATTTGAAGTTGGGCACGCCACCACGTGAAATGCGAAATACAAGTGAAACAAATAAAGAGATACTTGCTATATAACAGATATCCTTCTTGTTCGGAGCGGCATTTGAAAGGTATGGACGCTTGACATCCGCCAGGGCATGTCGCTCCAGGTGCAGCAGCCTTGTATGCAGACGAAGCTGCAGTGATTTTTCTAGCTGAAACCCCATTCCATCCATAAACTTCTTTCCCCGCAGTTCTGGGGCCATCCGAAAGGTTTTGTTTTTCAGATTTGCCCCACCATCAGTTATGATGCACACATACACGCCAAGCTGCAAAGGCAACAACATCGTTAGACCTCACTAATGGGGTATAATATATAAACACTTCTTTGTACAAAAACAAAGAAGAAAATTTAATACATATTCCCCATTCCTAACAAGTGGTTGATGAGATAAACGTTACTGCATAGACCATACGATTCATGTTGTATAAATAGATTACAGTGCCTTAGAATTAGTTTCTATTCACTTACATGGTTTTTCACACTTCCTCTATAGGCTGCAGTGTATATAGCTGAAATTTTAGGTAAAGACAGTAACAATTACGAAATGAATACAGTGGCTTGTTTTTTTCTCACCCGAATATGATTCATTTAATTATACTGAGGGAAAATATTCGGAGTCGAATACACTATAATGACAATTACGTACCACTTTGCCGTCAGCTTCGCCTACTAACATTATGACGTCTGGGTCGTCCACCCATTGGTGAAACTTGGCGGGCAGGTAGTCGAACCCGTCCCGGAATGTGTCTACTGACGCTATGTTCATGACGGCGTCGTAGTCACTGTGTGTGGCTTCACGGTAAGTCAGGTGGGGGCTGTCTTGGTTCGCCTGTAAAACCAGTTTAGCCATCATCACAGTAAATTGACACATACGTAAATTTTGAGGCATGAGGACTTATAGATTTTGTAAGATCAAAGTCGAGACATTCTGCTTGGGTCACCCCGATGTGACACCCTGCTGAGTGATATCGAAGTCGTAGGATTGTCTTGAATGTGTGACTAGGGTCTTATCTTGAAAACCATTGATCTTTATGCATATACTGTGGCATGCGTGTGTAGTCAGCACTGTAGTGTGTTGTGTTTCTTGTGTTAATATAGGCCGATCGAGACAATAAACTGACCTTTGCACACAGCATACGTGACAATATTGACCGGGGTGGTCAGTTTGGTGCGGCAGATTAATAAGTAGAAATCACAGACTTACCATGCCTCTCCCTGTGTCGTCGTGCTGACGTGGAGAGAGAACTTTCACGATTTCGTGGACAGTAGGCTGACACCCCTAGGGAAACTGTGGTTTACCATACCGCCACGCACAAGTTATGCTTCAGACAAAACTCAACTCCGAGTGACCCGGAACCGATACTACCCGGGGGAAACTGATCGGACGACCGTGACCTTTGTCCTTAAAGGCCGCTTGAACCTTGGATGTTTGCATTATGTGGTAATCTCCAATTCCAAGCAAATCCTATATTGGCAAAGATGGGACATTGGGTCATAAATGAGTATTTTCTAGTTTTTCTGACAGATGTCGTTTTTAACTAAAATGTTTCTCGTGCCTTTTATACATTGTGCTGATATCCAAGGTTGCCCTGGGTTTAAATGGAAAACTTGGCTAGCCTTTTACAACACTGATGGTACACTTTGTTTGAACCAGCAAACTACGCGTGATCTGAATACGAAAACCAGATATTAGACGACCTCTAATACTACTGTTAGGTTCAATGTGGTTATGCAACGGTCTACGGGCATTGTGCCAAGTTCACGGTCGGTCAGTTTCCCCTTCCGGTTCCGGGTCGGAGTTCACTCGAGCACAGGTGCTTCGTGGAGGTGCTGGGCGGATTGGGGTGTCTGCCTACCTACGAAATCTAAGAAAGTCTTTCCACGTCAGCACGCCGACACACGGAGAGATATGGTAAGTCTAAGTTCTTGTTGAACATCGTTTTAAAATGAGTGACTGTCCCACGAAATAATCGCCTCCTCATGGTAAGTTTGTACAAAGGCCAGTTGATTTGTCTCGGCCTATCACAGCTTACCTTGCGAGTGCCACGACGGATAAAGTGGGTTGTAGGGAGAGTTTTAGGGACCGGGAAACCCCGACTTGATGATGTTGATCACAGCACGGCAAAACGCTGACTACACTGTCATGACAGTCAATGGTATAAAGTCACTAGTTCTAAAGGTAAAGCCCCGGCCACACAATCAGCACCTCCCGTGGACCTTGATACCGATCACTCCCCAACCAAAGTCAACTGGTGGGAGTTTTGTGTTGGGAATAGCATTGGGTCCATTCTATTTTAGTGAAGTTCTCTTCTCTGATTGCAACCGAACAGAATATGACTGTCTCGACATTGATTTTTGAATACATATGCCATCATCTATTTAATTTACAGAGATTTATGTATTTTATTATGTTACATTGTATCTTCAACTCTAAATGTGTCCACAGATTGTGATGATGGTTACATTGGTTTTACAGGCGAACCAAAACAGCCTCCACCTGACTTACCGAGAAGCCACACACAGTGACTACGACGCCGTCATGAACATGGCGTCAGTAGACACATTCCGGGACGGGTTCGACTACCTGCCCGCCAAGTTTCACCAATGGGTGGACGACCCGGATGTCATAATGTTTGTAGCGGAAGCTAACGACAAAGTGGTACGTAACTGCCAATGTGAAATTACGTATTTATGTCGTTTAAGGATGTCCTAAGAAGTGTTTAAATATTATACCTCTGAACCAACAAGAAACAATGTTGCCATTGCAGGTAGGCTTGTATGTCTCCATTATAACTGATGGCGGTGCTAATGTCCTGAGCAAAACCATCCGGATAGCCCCAGAACTGCAGGGGAAGAAGATGCAGTCCAAAATGGCAGCTGAACTTGATACAACTCTGAGGCATACACATCCGCAGCTGTGGAAACTTGAGGTGCATGCCCTTTCGGACGTCAAGCGTCTCTACCTTACAAAAGTCTTTCCGAACAAGAAGGACATCTGTTTTATAGTAAGTATCCCTCTATGTATCCTTACTCACATGATCATGAATACATCCATACAAATATCCACAGACACACACACACACACACACACACACACACACACACACTCACACACACATACACACTCACACACACTCACACACAAACACACAAAGGCATAGACAAACACGCAAATTAGCCCGTGCACATAAGCAAATGCATCGCACTAGATGAGTATGGACACAATATTGCCTTTTGAAAATGTATAGTTAACTTAGAAAACACCCTTAATTAACCGTCCTTTCTAATTCCAGGATGTCATGTTCTTCCAAGGCATGTCAAACGAAGTCCTGGATAGTTTGGAAACCAAGGATGTTCTTCCATCCCATCCACAACCACCAGTAGTGCCCTACCAACCTTCCGACATGGCGCGGCTGGCAAGACCAGAGTTCTCACAGCAGATCCTAGTTGACAATACTATTTTTGTAGATTGGGACCCGTATCAGCTTAGTGCCTCCAACTTACGTTTGTTCTCAAAGCAGAGTGCCACTATTCTTGTCGACACTAGCGAGCCTACAGCTAAGAGTTTGAGTTTTGGTGGCAGTTATATGACACCAAGGGGAAGATTGTATCACGTAGATGTACACTGTAGAGATGTAGCTCTGTGTCAGGCTCATATCAAACACCATGTAGGCAGAGCTTGTCATGAGTACGAAGGGATGATCACGTTCTGTGTAATGTTGATTGACCCGTGCCTGAAAGCCACAAGCAAAACCTTTTGTGTAGAGAGGTTGGGCCTCGTTCACCTTCCCCACGACCACAGGTACTTGTATTTCAAATATCAGAATCCAGAATTGGATCCTAGCCAGTCACGCCTTTGAAAGACCACAAGACCGTAGACATGCCACACGCATGAGAGTGATTCCCACACATTTAAGCTTTGTAATAAAAACAACATTTGAGATATATGCAGTGCATATATCACTTCATTTGGACAAGATACCATCAGGAAGGCGAACCCATGTGCTTCAGTGTGACCAAAATATCAAACTAATGATGTTAAAATGGTTTGTAGGGGATAATTATTAAGTAACTTAAGGTTACGCAAATGTTTGTTCAACGCTTCTAATGTACAAATGTAGTAAAAAATGTCTAGAAATTGTTCAAATATCCAGGAATAAACAACAAATGTGCATTCAGACGGCATTCTGGTTCATTTTGCCTCTCATGTGAAGGGAGTATTAGGTATCAAGGTCGAAAGGTCAAGGTCGGATCAGTTTCTTTTACCTGCTCAGCTTGGTGGAATGGCGCTATGGCGGAATGTTCGCCTGGGTGTGTCTGCGTACCTGCGGAATCGTCAAATGAACCTCTATCCACGTCAGCACGACGCACGGAGAGGCGTGGTGAGTCGGCGATTTCACTAAACATCGTTTTAACGAGCGACTGCCCCGACAGTGGTCGGTAGCACAGCGATCCTGAATGTGCGACAGGGGGCAGCATATTGTCAAAACAAAGAGCTCCTTCAATGGTTAAAACTATAGCTAGTGACCTTCATGACAATAAATTTACACTGATAATGGCTAAATTGGTTTTACAGGCGAACCAAGACAGTTTCCACCTGACATGCCGTGAAGCCACACACAGTGACCACGACGCCGTCATGAACATAGCGTCAGTAGACACATTCCGGGACGGGTTCGACTACCTGCCCGCCAAGTTTCACCAATGGGTGGACGATCCGGACGTCAAAATGTTAGTAGGCGAAGCTGACGACAAAGTGGTACGTAATTGTCATTGTTTTGATCTTAATTACCCTATTGATATCGACGAATATTGCAATCTAGGTGTATAGAGGTAGTGTGAAAATCTCTAAAATGTGGTAGACTCTTAATCTTTTATCTGATCATAAAAAGAAATTACATTGGTAATTAAAAATCAAGCCATTGTGAGCCGTATGGTATGTGTTAACGTTGGTAATCGTTATGTCTAGCTCACCAGCCTTGTACTTTGGAATGGAGATGCATATGCGGTCATTTCTTTTTTGTTTTGCTGATTGTCCTGAGCAGTGTTTGAATCTTGTACCACTGAAGTAATCTCTAACAACGTTGCCTTTGCAGCTTGGCATGTATGTGAGCATTATAACTGACGGTGGTGCAAATCTGCTGAGCAAAACAATCCGGATAGCTCCAGAACTGCAGGGGAAGAAGTTCACGACGAAACTGATTGTTGAACTTCATAAAGCTCTACAGCTGCGTTATCCGGGGCTGCTGCAACTGGAGCAACGTAACCTGGTGGATGTCGAGCGTCCCTACCTTAAGAAATACTTTTCAAACGTGAAGGACATCTGTTTTATAGCAAGTATCTCTTTATTTATCTTTATTCACGTGAATGCATCCACACACGCACACACACACACACACACACACACACACACACACACACACACACACACACACACACACACACACACACACACACACACACACACACAACACACACACACACACTACTCACAGACGCACTCAAAATGATTTCCTTTTGTATACAATATGCTACTATACTATGAGCAATAGCCACTGATTGTGTCCATGATAACAATTCACTAATTCAGTTGCTAATGAATGGCTCACAGCTGCAATTAAGAGGTTACACACAGACTAATAACACATGACACATAACAAAGCATAACCATCATAACCATTCTTTCTAATTCCAGGATGTCATGTACTTCCAAGGCAAGTCTAACGAAGTGCTGGATAGTTTACGTTTGGAAACCAAGGACGTTCTTCCATCTCCTCCACACCCACCAGTGGTGCCCTACCAACCTTCCGACATGGCGCGGCTGGCAAGGCCAGAGTTCTCCAAGCAGATCCTAGTTGACAATAATATTTTTGTAGATTGGGACCCGTATCAGCTCAGAGCCTCTAACTTACACTTGTTCTCAAAGCGGGGTGTCATTATTCTTGTCGACACTAGTGAGCCAACAGCTAAGAGTTTGAGTTTTGGTGGCAGTTATATGGCACCAAGGGGAAGAGTGTACCACGTAGATGTACACTGTAGAGATGTAGCTCTGTGTCAGGCTCATATCAAACACCATGTAGGCAGAGCTTGTCATGAGTACGAAGGGATGATCAAGTTCTGTGTAATGCTGATTGACCCGTCCCTGAAAACCACAAGCAAAACCCTTTGTGTGGAGAGGTTGGGCTTGGTTTACCTTCCCCACGACCACAGGTACTTGTATTTCACATTTAGTGTATGATGCCAGTTCTGTCGGATGGATCCTAGCAAGTCACGCCATAATTTGAAGATGCCGAGAGACCATGGGTATAGTTTGTTACATCATCTTTTAGACAACCTGCCCAACTG